CCCGTCACCCTCTGCGGGGGAGTGACCCCACCGCCCAGCCCCCCCACTCCGTGAATGAAGGGATACCATGCGTGTTACCAAAATGTCCGGTAAAGGGGTACTTTTCATGCGACAAAGTCTGGCCCAAGAATTGTAAAAAAAAAGGGGGTGTATTTGACTTTTCACCCAGAGATTTCTTTAAAAAGGGGGTGTTTTTTTTCTTTTTTCTCTCATCTCTTTGGACTCCTGAGAAATTAAAAAAGGGGGTTATAAAATAATACTTGGGTGGTTAACTGGTGCTTAGGAAAGAAAGCGATTATTTTAATAAGGTTAGAATTGCTGAGAACAAATATAGCATGTGTGATGCAAATGAATCCTTATTTGTTAAATATGAAAGAGTATCTTTACGAGGATAAAGTACTTAGTTACAGAGTTTGATTACAGGTACATTATGTGAAAGGACACATCATGCAAGCACAGGTGATATCAGTTAAGATTAATGGAAGGTTTATTTCTATTAGAAAAAAACTAAGTCTCAATATCAGGCACTAAAGTAATTATTCAGTGGTGATATATTTGGCAGATAAGTGAGCATAGAAATAATTTGCAGAGTTTATTCTTACAAGGTACCGTATAAATGAAAACACGAGCACAGAAATTTTAGTTCAATTAATACACAAGTTTGTATTTAATGTGCTAAATGTCTGTACGTAAGTAATCTTGTTATTTATTTTATACAGATCGAATTGCTAAACGACTTCTAAAGAATAAAACACACCAGAAGTCAAATCCAGTTTTAGCAGGCAGAGTTCTTTGGGGTATTCCCTGGGTGTGTGAGCCAACCAGTAATGACAGCTTATCTGAGATGGTGGAGAGAAAGGGGGTGTCTGCATGTCCTGAGATAGGGGGATACATTGAGCAGTGTTCCGGACTTAAGGGGTCTCCAAGGCAGGAAAAGCCTGCGAAAGGGGGGTTCAGAAATTTTGGCAGTCCTCAGATAGGGGGTGCTTCAAAGAGAGGGAACAAGCATATGCGTACCCTAAATAACACTGAGTGGGGGGGGGGGCCGGGCCCCACCAGGGCTAGTCTACAATTTGGATCCATCTCACGTAACATTAATTATATTATCATAAGTGATTTATGCATTTTTATCATTTCATTGTGATAGTCCGGCAGCCAAATCCAGATTATTGGCCTAACCATGTTTTAGGGTCTATAGTTTTTTTTTCAATGGATTTTGATTGCCTAAACCTTCTATTTCAAGAATCCGATTGCTGACACTCTGTCAGCCTTGAGCAATTTAAGATGACATCATACAAAATGGCCGCCAAAGTACATGATTTTTCTCTAAAAATTGATAACAAATATAGAATAAGGATTTTTCTACATCTCTCCAGGACCATCACTAAAAAATTGTTTTGAGATGTTGCATGGCTATAGATGACCAGCCAATTTGCTTATTTTGAAATAGCGTCCTCTATAAACATACTAATTTGCATAAAATATGTGTGCCAGACAAATGCCAATTCCTTAAATGTACCTCACGTTAAAATCATATTAACTGCTTTGTATGCAACAATTACGGTTGTGTTGCATTCATCTTTCATCTTGCTTGGCCTAAATTTAGATACATATGTCAAGAAACAAAAAGGCTTATGAAAGAAATTATTTTTCATCAAAGCGGTGAGAAGAGGTTTTACGGCACACATTATTGTTCCATTGATAGGCTTTATCTAGACCAGCATTGCTCCAGCGTCAGTGAATGTGGATAAAGCAGTTGACATCGGTCCTAGACAGATTCACAAGTTTCAAAGGAAATTTCACAAAATGACACAATATCCAAGAAAGTTCCAACCATTGCAGCCATGAAGAAGTCAATTAATGTTGGGGGTACGAAAGTCTATGAAAGTCTACTCCAGAGTAATAGGACTGCAGACAAGTTCAAGAGGTGTCAATGTCAAGGACATTTTGTCATAAGAGCTTTCATCAGTTCCAATTAATTAGTACCATTGTTGTCATTATCTGTAATGTTACATGATTGTTATCATCTTTAAATAGCACATGTATTATATTACCATTATTATAACCAACTTTATTTGTAATATCATTTTTATTACTGTTATCATTATCAGATTTGTCTTATATATTACATGTACCAAAACATCCATGGATCTATGAGAAATTTTTGATACATAAGAAATTTTAGATGAATGAGAAGAAAAGATAACTGATTTTGCAGATTTTTCTTCATTTTTCTAATGGGAGTGGTTAACATTTTGTGATTATGTGTTTAGTATGTGATTTTGCATGTGTTTGCAGAAACACAAGAATGATTCAGTGCATGCAAGTCACAATGGCGAGTGGGGAGGGGGCAGATTGTGTGTCTGTATTGCTATAACTAAATTGTACGTGTGTGTGTGTGGGGGGGGGTGATGTTGAGCATGTGTTGGGGGATGTTGTTGAGATGTTGTGAGGAGCATCATTTAGAGGATACTAAGTTTGTATTTTTCATTATAATTTAACTATTTGAGAATTGTGTGTACATCCACGATACATGAATGAATTGCACACACATGCATATCACAAAATGAGTAGTAATTGCACCCACATTCACAGCCAGACACACACAAATACAAACTAGTGACACACAACCGTCAGGTATAATAATTTTAATCACTGAGCAACAATCACCCTTCGTTTCCATGAGGGGAATCTCCCATTGCCCCCCCCCCCCCCCCCCCCGAAAAAAAAAAAAACAATAATAATGAAAATCAAAAGCCTTCTTGTAATCGAGATAAATCCACCATTACCTCCCCACCCCTAACCCCCCCCCCTCCCACATACATGTATGCCTGCAAACTTATATTTCATATATACAGCCCACTTTCTTTCATGTATGCAGATGAATACACCAATATAACCCATACAATAACAAGAGCTGTAGAGGGCATGATCACTTTGTTTAATTAGCATAACTAATTAATGTACCCTTATCGCACTGATGAGTTATATATTCTTTTTCTGTTATTTCGTCTCAACAAGTGAACAAAAATTAAGGTATATACAAGAGATGGGTCTTGATTTTCTAGGCACATTTTTGAGGTATGGCCAAAGGTTTAGGTAGAAAGAAAACCTTGGTAGAACTAAAGCAAACTCTGATCGGTATCCTTAAGGCAGCAGCTGAGAGGGCAATTTGTGTGCACCTTGCAGCAAGGTTGAGGACTTCCGTAAGAAAACGCACAAAAAAAATGACCAGGTAGGCGGTGAGGGCGTGAAAAGTATGAAAGGAGAATATGACAACTTAGTAGGAAAGACAGTGGAACATCTGACAACGAGGATGGTGGTGAGGAGGGGTGGTGCTGAGGCAGATCTAAGAGAGGCCTTAGGCTTTATAGTTACAACAACAATCCAGACGTTATCTATCCTTTCACTAAACAAGACATACTCAAAGTTTGACAGAAAGCAGAATTAAAGGTCGTAGAATTAAACAACAACGATGTTGTAGGCATGCACATAATGCATCAGTTTGAGATTGGAGATGAAAAGATATGGTACATATCCTCTGCAACCAGGGAAAATGAATGTCTCGTTGAATACAAAAATTTAGATGATGAAACCAACAACGAAAATGATGACATCTATAATATGTGGGTGGGTCAATTTTGGAGGATTATAATAACAATAATGTTAGATTTGTTAGACTTAAAAGTAAATGAAACAAGTAGGAAAACGCACTCAAAAAAAAAAAAGACTAACGAAAGGTTGCAGGTAGTTAGGGTGTGAAACACAGAAAGAGATCTCCTTGGAAAAGTGGCCCGCCTCAAGATGGGTTACTTTGGACACATTCTGCATGGCAGTGGAAGCCCCTTAGCAGCACAAATAATAGAAAGCCAAGTAGAAGGAAAAAGAAAAAGAGGCAGACAGAGAAAGCAGTGGTTCGATAACATCAAAGAATGGACAGGTCTCACATATTCAGAAGCCAAAAGATTAGCGCAGGATAGAAACAAATGGAGAAAGACAACAAGATGTGCATATGTGGTCGCCAATCGCCAGCAACTGACGGTGGCAGCCAGGTAGCCAGGTAGCAGGTAGGTAGGGTGTGAAAGGTATGAGAGTGTAGTATGATCATAAATTGTATTTCTAATTTCCTTTAATCATTGAAAAATGAAAAATGGCCATGACAGCTATTAAAAACTTGATCATCTTCCATTGTCCTTTGGAGAGCTTATCATCTTCTTTATGACAAACTTGACTCAAACTACATCAAAGGAGGATAGTCACTATGTAAGTGACAGATAACTCTGCTAACAGAGCTTGCAAGAAGAGCTAAAAAGAAGTGTCCACTAACTGCGGTAGTATGAAATTCACTTTTTGTTTGTGAAAAAAAAGAATTACAAAATACAGATAAAACAACTGACATGTATGTGCTATGTGTGAGTAAATTCAATGAAGCTGCCATATTGTACGAGATAATTCGATTCTTTTGAGGACAAAAGACCATTTCTAATTGTTGATTTTTTTTTTCTTCATTATTATGGAAGTTACATTGAAAAAAATTATGTAATTTGTTTAACTTTTATCTAATAATTCAAATTTTGTACTTTTGTACGATATTGTGATTTATCAGCCCCTTCTGGTTTTCGTGGTGCTACTGATGGAAGGAAATTTTACAACAGCCTGAAGGTAAATCTGTGATGTTTGTGAGAAAGTGCATCAGATCTAGGAAAGGCGCATAGGGAAATTTAGAGTGTCGTCATTTCTATAATTTTCAAATATCAAAGTAAGTCATTTCGATGCCTGTAATGAACTAAAAATTTGTTTGACAAATACTTTTTAAGTCATTATGGCATACACAAAAATATTTAGAGACAACTTATTTGTCTTTGTACAGCTGCAGAGTAAATACATTTTTATAAGTTCATGTACATGCATAGTGGTATGTGTTGAAATACCTAACAAAAGATAAACTTTCTTAGTCATGCTGCTCTTTAAAAATGCAGCTATGAAGTAATATGCATTAATCATACCTTCAAATGGCTGAGCATTCTTGCAACAAACTCATCGAAAAAATGTGCGAAATTCCTTGCGTTTACATCATTTTGTGGAGTACAAAATGCAACGATGACAGCTGTGCAGTCGGCTGCTAGCTTCCTTCTGAGTTCTATCTTAAACTCTGCAAGGGCAGTTGCAGGAGGTGCACTAGACTTCAGAATCTCTTGAGTAACAAGTTTCTCCTTGCTAAGTTCATCAATTGGTGCATCTCCCCACGGCTTCTCCATTTGGATTTTGCGTCGTAATTTTCGGCGGCCGACCCAGACAGCGTGGGTGGCTTTACAGCAAATGACCTTGCTGACTGTGCTACCCTCATGGTCTGTCACAGAAGAAGTTGAGGATGTTGGTGATGTAAGGTCAGCTGGAGAGGTCATGCAAGTGCTGCCACTCGAGGTCATAGACATTTCATGCTCGTCGTCATCCAGATTGGAAGCAATCCTTTGTCTCTTTCGTGCAGGTTCTACATCTTCATCAGTTTCTCCATCTCTCAACTCATTGTCTTTTGTTGTACCACTGCTGCTGGCATCACTGTTCATACCAGGTGTTTCAGTACTCTCCCTGATTTCTGTTGGTTGTTGTGGTGAGTGAACACCATCTTCCATCTCAACGATATCATCATCCTGAGACTCTTCAAAACATGAAATCCCAAGCACATCTTCCATTAGCCTCATTGCAAAGTTCTCAGCATGCTGGCACCATGCAAGTTTCATCTCTCCTGCATCCTCATATCGCTTCACAAACTCAGGAGTTACCTGGCTCATCTTCAAGGGGATGACCACAGATAGTCCACCTTCTACTTTCCTCCTGCCTCCATCCCTCTCTTCCAGGAGACTCAAGAATCCCCAACGTGGAATCCTTCCAGTTTCCAGATCCTCTCCTTGCTTCCTGTACCTCAGCGAGATGCAGGTCAGGCTGGCCTTGCGCAGCTCCTCTCGCATCTTCCCAGCGATCTTGTCGTTGATGTTCATGGCAACATTATGTGATAGATCCAGAGGATCTTGGATGTTGAGTGGTCCCACTCTGAACTCTTTAGATGATGATGATGAATCTGATGATATCTGGGGCTTGAATTGAGTGAGAGGGACGGTGGTCCCTGATACAGGGCAAAGAACATTGGTGGCGAAGTCACACTTGGTGTAGAAGCTGAAGAACCCCTTCATCAGAGATTCTGAAGAATGAAATACAAAGAAAAAGTGGACATGCAACATCACTGCATTTGAAAATTTAAATTCATTAAGTAAATCATCACAATTCAGCAATACAATATAATATTGTGTTTTAAATAAACACAATCTGGGTTCAATTCGTATCTGAACATTCATGGTAAAAGAAAGCTCTTATACAGTAATTTTCATAATCAGGACCAGTGTGTAACAACTGTTTGGGGTCACTCTATAATGTTTCATTTACTTCAGCAAGACATTAAAGTACATTTGGCAATCTCCAGCGAGGGGTATACAGGTACCAGATATGCTTGAGTAGTAGAATGCTACATACTTGGCCACTGGCTTTGACTGAGGAAATAACATTAGAACACCAGGAGTGTCTCAATGTGAGAGACACGAGTGCTGCACAAGGAAGCTACATCATCATGATCAATAGTGTTGTTGTCGTTTAGAGGTGTCATGGTCTAGTGGATTCATCCTCGCACAGTAATAATAATAATAATAATAGCTCACATTTATAATGCGCCTAATACTATGTTTCTAGGCGTGGAACATATTATTACCCCGGTCATCGGATTCAGGCTTACCTGCAACAAAATGTATGCACATTTTCTACTCCTTGGGGAGCATTCCAGCTAGTCGCTATTTTACAAGCACCCCTTGCTAATCCAACCACATTAACTTTCGCATCCTGGGTCAGGGTGGAGAGTGGCAAGTGTAGATCAATGTCTTGCCAAAGGACATTAGTGCCGCGGCGGGACTTGAACCGCAGACCTTGTGATCCACAGTCCGGTGACATATCCACTCGACCACGACACCTCTACAGTAGATCACATGGTTCACATTTTCTAAAGTTCTGTCCTTTGGCAAGCCATGAATCTACATTTGCTACTCTCCACCCAGGTGTTTAATGGGTTGGAACGAGTTCCTTAAATGCTGTGAGCAAAATCAGTAAGCCTAGCAGAGCGGGGGGGGGGGGGGGGGGGAATATTAGAACGCCTTGAGCACCTAGCGTGGAGCATTGTTGTCGATGTAAAATATGATGATCAGGCCTTAAATTTCGTCATTTTTAGGGCAAGGCCAGTTTGGCCTTAAAGTACCTCATATTTTTAAGGGCACCAAGGCCACTACAAAGGGCACCAAGGCCAAAATATATTTACAAAAAGGGCATCTTTGCCCCCAAAAAATTGATTCTGCATACTTTAAATTTTTGTTAGATGTCATGTGTATTTTATAATGAAACTTGTGCGGGATCAATTTCCCATGACTTTTAGTATCAGCTTTTTCACAGAGGTCCTGTAACTAGTAGAATTGCCATTAATAAATTGGGTTTAAAACTTTCAATCAATATTGTGACTGACACTAACTGTTATTATATCAAAATATAATTAAATATTCAGTGATAGATATCTTGATAATCAGAACCACATGTTATGTCGGGGAATGCATAGGAGAGAAGTCCTCATAATGATCGACACAGAAAGCTTAGTTGACTTGCAGTGAACTTTCATTTATTATGCAATAAACAGGAAGAAAAAACATCCAAATCTTGCCTCCAGAAGTTAATAAGTATATCACTGACCCACAATGGTCATATGTTGCTAAGAGTAAAGATTAGAGTATATATTGGACTTACTACGGATATAATCAGAAGGTCCAATCATATTAACGGGGCGTTGTGGCTTGCGCCTGTAATCCAGCTAACAATGGAAGTTACAAACTTGAGGACGCAGGTTCGAAACTGAGTCAAGTCTTTCGGATGGTGACGGTAAAGGTCCGTCCCCAGACGTAAATAATCATATCTGAATGATACACGTCTGTAAAAAACCAATTACACACATATGACACACTCCAACAAAGCATACGAGAGTCGATGCTAATGCGTATAGACCTCTAGCACTGCATACTTGCTCTGAGGCAGGTATTATTAGACCTACACACAATTATATACTCACCACACAATATTGCATAGACTGCAAACAATAGGACCAATTGGGCTGATCAGCAAATTTGACACTAGACTTTCACTTACAATTTGAATTTTTAAATTATTCTTTTTAACATCAGTAAGTTGAAAAAAATGTATTTTACTGCTATTTAGGTATCCTCAATTGTCACTAAAGAACCGATTTTGAGTGAAATCAGTTGAGTTTTGTACAGTGGTGTTTGAAATGTTGAGAATGAAAAGCACAGCTTTTACTACACAGCCAGGATAGTGATGCTCCTATGTGTGATATGACAGGGGTAATAACATTTCTGTTACGCACTTAGAACATATATCTATGAGTATGAGATGTATTAAAGGCTACATAGTACATGTATATAAAAGCAGAATAAAATATATGATTATAATTATTATCAGATTCAGTCAGAAGATCCATCACTCTCTGAAGCAGACCAGTCTGTTGCTTGTGGGGTAGTGACTCTGCTTCCATAAGGCTGGACAGATGGACGTCTTGATGCATTACTGGTGACAAACCAATGTTGCACAGCAGCCTCTGGATTATATTCTTCAGGTGCTGGACCTTCGTTGGATATGCGTAGTAAGTCTGTGATTGTTGCAGTACTGAGACTTAGTCGCCAGTCACCTTGGCATCTCTTGATGGTAGAGAACTGCCGTTCTACCTGCGCTGTTGATGTGGGTAGCACAAGCAGTATCCTGATGATATGGCATAGGTTGGGGTACACATCTCCCTGGTGAACTAGGACATTCTTCCAGAGGTCTTGAAACTTCTCTTTCTTCGCTTCCTGTCTGAGCTTCATCCACTCGACCTCAACCAGCTCTACCTCACAGCCCTTTGCCATCAAGAGGGGTCTAAAGTGATCGCACAATGTGTGGATCTCATCAATACCAAAGTCTACTGCTTCCTGGACATCGGATGGATATCCGATTGGATCAAGAATCTTGGCTGCCTTGATAATCGGGTCGTCACCGAAGTCAGCCAGCCTAGTCTCTAGGCAAGTACTCACAGATTTCAGAACCTTCACTTTGCTGGCCTGAAAGTCCACAACATCTTTCTTGGTAACCTTGAGTTTGACATCCTGGAAAGAGAAGGTTGGACTCTCTTCTGCCTCCTCCTCGTTCACTGCCTCAGTTGCGGCAGCAAGGACGGTTCTCAGATGGGGGCCTGGTTTTTCCTCCATCCGTTTCAGCCCAGCTTGTGCTACAAGGATATTCCTGCCAACACTGGACACTGGGAGGTCATCCCTCTGAAAGCCGAGGGATAGCTCTGCCAAGTATTCCACCATATCCCTGTAGCTGCTCATATGTAACTTAGAGGACTTAAGCATCTTCAAAAACCCTTTCATTTTGGCTGCATCAGCTGGAGAGATGTCTTTACGCTGACCGGATGCTTGTTCTTCAAATTGGCTGACAATGCAATGGTAGTTGGTAGCCAAGCATTTCAGCGCTTTTCGACGGTGGTCCACCCATCTGGTTCCCTGTGAACGACTTGGCTTGACTACATGCTTGTTGAGTGCTGACGCCACAGCCTTGACTTCCCGCCACTTCTTTGCAGACCGTCTATAGATGTAGTACATTTGCATCATAAGCTCGTCGATCTAAATGTAAGCAAAAAATAATATGAAAATATGGTTTGGGGTTAGCGGTACACATCTACGAATTTTAACATACTTATTTATTATAGCATCGATCATGTTATAATCCCGTTATAATAAATTAAAATTGAAACACGAAATATAATATTATAATTAAGATTTGTGCAACAAGTTTATTTCATTGTGTGTTCATATTATTCTTTCAATCACGCTAAGAACACATCTTTAAGAACACTTCAGTGATGCATTATTTTTTAAAGGACTTCAAGTTTGGTTTGCTACTCTAAAATTTTATGTTTTTTTAATAGTTTTACTATACATCGGCAATTTACATTTATAAGTGTTCTTTCCCCCTAAAAATCCTTATCCTTCTTCAACTACACTCTGATATTTTGGTGTAACATGTTTTTGTTTGAATAGAGATATTAAGCTTTCATGATAAATATGTGTCGCCGTGTGCTGATCATGATTTTGAGCTCAATTTTCTCAAAAAATTACCATTTGCTAATTAAATTACTTATGCCCAAAGATAATTTTATTGATTTGGTAAAACATTTCTACAACTAACCAGCACATAATATGTGTTCTTGAAAGCATCCTTCAAGGCAAGTTCGAGCCGGTGTGCAATGCAGTGCATCTTGATTAACCATGGAGCATCTTCTCGCTGGAACCTGGTCAGGATTCCACTCCTCTCTCCGAAGTTTACTGCAGCGCCATCAGCTGCTGATGCCACAAAGCCGTTCTTCAGGTTGAGGTTGTGGTCCTCACACAACTTCCGTATCGCTTGCTCAACTGTAGGGGCATCACACCTTTCTGGTTCTGCTATTCTGTAATATGAAGAGGAATTTCAATCTACTGTTATATTTTTTCAATCAAAATTTTAAAGAACTTAGAAGTCAAAACGAATATGCCAATTATTGAATGAATGTGCAATATGTTATATGAATGTGCAATATATATATATATTATTTCTAATCTGGCAAGGGCGGGGGCATATTAGTTATTATTAATGAAGCAGTATTATACATTTTAGAACATTTTTCAGACTGGACTTTTGATAATGCACTGAACTAACTTCTTCCAAATTCATTCTGTAATCGTGATTTCACGATATTAATATATTGGATTATGATAGTTGTGATTCCTTTTATTTGTAACTTACCCAAGGACTTTTATCTTCGGAATGCCATCTTCAATGAGCTTGATGCTGACAACCTCTTTTTCAGAAATGGATTTATCTGTACTGCCGTCAAACAGTAATGAGAAGTAGAACGGCTCCTGTCCAAAAAGCTTCTCAAGGTCTTCTCTCATTGTAGCGGCTATGTGATGAATGAACGTGCGACATGCAGCATCATTTATGTATGTCACTCCAAGGTCAACGCCATGCTTCTTTTCAAGAAGCACAAATTGTTTGTACATGGTGAAGGGTTGTTCACAATGTGCAACCATGTAAGCGATGTCAAAAAGCTTACTCATTTTGGCCTTTGTTCTGTCCTGCATTGTCTGAAATTGCTGTGCAAGTTTCGATTTTTCAACCAGAGGGAGCGTGGCTTGAACAGCAGACAAGTGGAACTTCGATCTGGAATGAGATTTTGATGTGTCCTTTTTCACATTACTTGTTCCTACGATGTATGCATCATTATCACAAATTTGTGCTTGTCCTGGATGCATTGATACTTTGGTCCCTCGATGTCTGGCATTCCGACACACACTACACCAAACCTTTGACACATACCCGTTGTGTTCATTGTACTTAAGCCAATCATATCCCCAGCTATCGACAGTTGAAGATTTTGTTCTCCTAGTAGCATTAGCACTATGAGAACTCGCACAATCATCATGAGGATGGGACAGTGACTTGATCATCTGAGGTTGCTGAGAAGAAGTAGCAGATGAACTTGCAGCTAGTGGTGGTGGAGTGGAACCATCATCATCATGCTTGGATGCTGACTTGGTCATCTGAGGTTGCTGAAAAGAAGTAGCAGATGAACTTGCAGCTAGTGGTGGTGGAGTGGAACCATCATCATCATGCTTGGATGCTGACTTGGTCATCTGAGGTTGCTGAGAAGAAGTAGCAGATGAACTTGCAGCTAGTGGAGGACTAGCACCATCATCGCGTTGCTGAGATGCTGACTTGGTCATCTGAGGTTGCTGAGAAGAAGTAGCAGATGAACTTGCAGCTAGTGGTGGAGGAGTGGAACCATCATCATCATGCTTGGATGCTGACTCTGCCTTCTCACCTGGCTGTTGATGAAAGAATATTCAATAATTAATTCTAAAGTGTATATGCCTGATAATGATTAAACTGGCACCTACAAAAATCAGAATATTGCTGGAATTAGTCCTATGATAATTATGTAATTGTATACTTGAGTTTTAAAAATGTTTTAAGTTTATTGTCAATGAAGTAGGCTTAGAATTTACATTGATGCGTATATTTATAGATGTGGAAATGAGTTGAAAGAGATTTTAAGGTGTGAAATATCTCATCTATGTGTTACAAGGGCACAATCATGAATCTAAATCAGTAAGTATTCAAAATTATCTTGAATGACATTTATGGAATTCTCTTCTCAAGAATCATTTAGTAATTGTTTGTGTTTACCTGAGCTTCATGATCATCCTGTAAACTTGAAGGATGATTATGCTTTATTCTGGATACATTCTCTGATGAGGGACACCTAAAATCCAAAGGATTAAAGACATAATTAGTGTATGTACTTTACTTCAAGTAAATTAATTAATTACAAGGTAATATATAGTAAGGGAATCCCAAACCCCCATGTCATGTTACTATTGTTGTAGATCTAGACAAATAAAATCTGTTAAAGTTTCTAGAACATTTAATGCCAAGGGGAAGGGATGAGAAGTTTTTAAAAACTTTTAAAAAAATTGATGGACACTAGAGGGCAGTAATTAAGTTGGGATGGAACTTGTAGAAAACACTCTTTTTTTCTCTTTTTTTTACACAAAGTGAAGAAAGAAAATTGATTCTGAACAGATTATACTGGAAGTGTTGACACTTTGGATTTATTTTTGGAAGCGTTGAATGGGAAAATTCTTATTTGCATATTATTTGTATAGTTCTCTGGTCAGAAAAATCTGTCTGTTCGGAGGAATTTCATAACATTTTCTGACTTGTGAGGTGTGAGGTTCTCCTCCTTCTCAGACTGAAAACTCTAATTGTCACCTTATAATGATGGTGGCTCACGCGAGGCTTAACCCGTTCCTTCCGAAATTATTCAGCCTGATAGCCACCCCACAAACGAGATTAAAAATCGAAAACTCGACTCCTTCGCTGCCGTACAATACCGTGCGACTGTTCAGCGCGCGGAACAATGCGTGTGCGTTGAAGCGACCTAAAGCTTGGCCAGTCGCTTCGACGAGCAGGAACTTAGCGCATGCGCAGATCATTTGGCAATCTGCCGTGCTCTAAGTTTTTTCAGCTCTTCCGTACTGTAGGTTTTTTTTCTTCGTTATCTTTTTTCCCGCTTCTACCTACTTATTTTGTTCTTCTTTTTTCTCCTCCGTATCTTTTTTTTTCCTTGTCACTCTTATTCCTCCTCCTTATTCTTCTTTTTCTTCTTCTTCTTCTTATTCTTCTTATTTATCTCTTTTTATTTTGATACTCGATTTTATGAGAAAATACACAGTTTATAAAAAGTAAACTATTTCAATGTAAGTTTCTGTTGCATCAATTTTAATTGAAATAGTTTATCAGCCAAAATTGACTGTTATAATTTACGTCGGACAATATACTGTAGCGAAAATATATAAACATGATCAAATGAAACTCAAGAAGAATCCAGAACGGGGGAGGGAGGGGGGGGGGGGTGAAAGGAGAGCCAGAATAGCATACTAATAAATACAGTACAGACTATATAACGATGCGCTCAACTTTCTCTCTCTCTCTCTCTCTCTCACTCTATAAAAACCGTTCATTGTACTTCATCTGTCTCATACTGTTTTCTGTTCCGCGATTTCCAAAAAAACGTTTCGACATATAAATAAGAATTGTTAAAAGTAAGAGTTTGGATATAAAAACATCTCTTTTGCAAAAAATTAATATGAAACAATCTTTTTTGACAGAACTAATATACGTCGGACGAAGGAAATAACTCCTTGGTCGGACATTATACTTTTGCGATTTTTTTTTTTTTTTTTTTAATTTTTTTTATGAACTAAAGAAACATTCTGAACGGGGGGGGGGGGGGGGGGGGGGGGGGGTTGATCAGATAGACAACTAGCATAATAATAAATACAGTACAGACTACATCCAACTTTCTATCTCCCTCTCTCCCCCCCCCCCCCTTCTCTCTCTCTCTCTCTCTATCTGTCAATGTTGTTCCGCCATTTGCTTGTATGCCGGCATCATTCCTTCTTTGAGATAAATTATGATAACATATCCATGATGATGAAAACATACATCTTAAATACTAGGGAACAAAAATAGAAAACGAGCGGCTGATAATGTCAAAATAAATATTACTGTACACAAATTATAGAAAGTAAAAGTTTTGATTTGAATGTAAATCTCAGTTGCATCAAAATAAAATGAAACGTTCATTATATCGACGGAAATAATATACATCGGACATTATACTTTACCACAAAAGGGTCATACTGAAGTAGGTGGATAACATTATAAGAGAAAGAAGAGAAAGAATGAAACTTTCTCTTTCAAAAACAGAAGAATAATGGAGAGGGATACAAGGACAAATACACAATAAATAAATATAAACAAGATAGGATTCTAGAGCGGAAGATGATATAGGGGAAACGAAATAGTTCGGAAGTATTGCCTAGAGAGCAAAATAAATATTCTGTTTTATTTACTAATGTAAAGCGCTTTGATCATGTTTTATGTAAAGGCGCTATATAATATCAATATGTATGAATATATTGGCAAATTTTGACAATTATATTATAGTTTGTAAGTATGTATTGACAAAGTACATACGAATACAAATGACACAGAAAATTAATGTCTGCAAGTATTTGGGACCTATATAGAATATGTGAAAAGAGCTATATCTTTGTCTTTGGCCCATGATCCCACAGCTTAGTTACGTAAGAGGAACAAAGAACGTTGACGGATGTAAAGGTTGTTGTCATGGTTATACACCCCAACAATAGAAGAGCGGAAGTAAAGTAAGGGTATAATTGAATGACAATGACCTGGCTTACAGCATTGATGATCCTACAGGTATAACCCTGGCTTTTTTTCAGGTGGGCTGTATCTAATACAGACCACCTTATATTTTTGTTAAAATCGCCTTTATTATTTATTATTTATTTTTCTTATTTCGACCCACTTTTTGTTAGCAAAATAACTTGAAAATGGCTAAATCAAATAACTTGAAATTTGGCACACATATGTATAGGCATATGGAGAAAACACGGTAAGGTTTTAAACCTTGACCTTGACTGATGACGTCATCTAGGCGCCATTTTGTGAAATTTTCTGAAAATTTACTCATGATCATATTTTCATAACGGTAAGTTATTTCTCATTCATATTTATCATGATCAAGGTCAATATCAGTCCGGTCAATTTCATGTCAAAAAGCCCGCGCGTGCGCGTACGTCCGCGCGTCAGTGCGCGCGCAAAAATTTAAAATGCTCAAAATCGTCTCAAATTTTTTTTGCATACGTTTCAGGTCATTTCAAGCATTTTATAAAAAATCGCGCGTACGAGCATGCGCGCACGTTTTCGCGCGTAACAACATTACAAAACATAGAATCGCCATTTTTTTTCTTTCATGATATTTCTCATATTTTTTCGAGGAATTTGATACCATGTTTATCTCTTTATGACCGTTAATAACAAGATGAGTGTCAATTCAAGATAAACGTCTGTGCGCGCGAGCTCTTTTAATACATAGCATATATGGGCAAAAACATGCCTATACAAAATCCATTATAGCTCTTTGGAATGAGCCGTGACCTTCAATTTGTTTTCATATTTAGATAGAGTATGAGTCGGAGAAATGATTCCATGTCTCATTTGGCCATTAAGTGTATCGTGACATCATCATAATGGCCTTGGAACTCAAAATACGAATTTGCATATAATGACGTCAGCATATTTATGGAAAATTGATTGCATCTCTGTAAATATTGATCGATTTTCTTCCAAATTTCGATATGTTGTAGCAAAGACAATTCTCTACAAGCTCAGTCATCACCATTTTTCATTTTGATCACGACATCATAGTGAAATTTACGATGAAAGGCACATATCAGAAATTTCTTAAGTTGCGTGTTATGCCTATGGAACGTGAATTTCGTTCACATCATTAATCTACATGACATTGTTTTTTAGCAGTATCTCGCTTATTTTTGCTCTATTTTTTCTCAAATTTTAGTTGACCAGCCCACCTATACTTGTTCCAAACAAGTATTATGTCTAGTTTGTGTGTGTTTTTTGGGGAGTGGGGTCTTGTTGTTTTTGCAATCATTCAAAGATAATATCAATCATACAAGATAAAGGAAATGAACAAGAATATGTGATATGCTAAAATGTAACAGACAAAAAGATGATGATGGGAAATGATTGTTTCTCTCTCTTTTTTTTTCTCTCTTTTTCACTCTCTTTATGTGTCTCTCTCCCTCTCTCTTTCCTCTCTCTCTCTCTCTCTCTCTCTCTCTTTCTCTCCACTTTCTCCCTCTCTCTCCATCTGTCTCTCTGTCTATCTGCCAATGTTGTTCCACCATTTGCTTGTATGCCGGCACCATTCCTTCTTTGAGATTAATTATTATAACATAAAATTATCCCTGATGATGTACAGTATTATACCTTATATTTATTATAGGGAGCGAAAAAGAAAACGAGCGGCTGATAATGTCAAAATGAGAAGAATATTACTGTACAATATTTATACAAAATAAAAATTTGAATGTAAATCTCTGTTGCATCAAACTGATATAAACAAATTTGTATTATGCTATATTGACGGTACTATTATCCGTCGGACATTGTGCTCTAGCCAAAAGATATAAACAAACAAAAAAAGAGAAAAACTAAAGACAAAATCTGAGGTGTGTGGGGGGGGGGCAGTCGGTGAGAAAAATATCATAATAATAAATACAGAACAGACTGCGTCAAACTTTCTATCTACCCTGCCCCCGCCCACCCTCCTCTCTCTCTCTCTCTCCCTCTCGCTGTCTCTCTCTCTCTCTATCTCTCTTTCTACGTCATTTTCCATCTTCATCTTTCATAATGTTGTCTACTATTCCGCCATTTACTTGCATGCCGGCATCATCCCTTCCTCGAGATTAATTATTATAACATATCCCTGATGTTATACGTCAGACATTATACTTTAGCAAAAAGATATAAACAAACAAAAAAAGAGAAAAACTAATGACAAAATCTGAGTGTGTGGGGGGGTGGGGGGGGTAGTCGGTGAGAAAAATATCATAATAATAAATACAGAACAGACTGCGTCAAACTTTCTATCTACCCTGCCCCCGCCCACCCTCCTCTCTCTCTCTCCCTCTCGCTGTCTCTCTCTCTCTATCTCTCTTTCTACGTCATTTTCCATCTTCATCTTTCATAATGTTGTCTACTATTCCGCCATTTACTTGCATGCCGGCATCATCCCTTCCTTGGGATTAATTATTATAACATATCCCTGATGTTATACGTCAGACATTATACTTTAGCAAAAAGATATAATCAAACAAAAAAAGAAACGTACACAAAAGAAAAACAATCAGAGCTGGGGGGGGGGGGGGAACGGAGATAACTTTCTATCTCCCCCTCTTTCTCAAATAATTTATATCTCCTCTCACATATACCTCCCCCTCTCACATATGCCTTAGTATAGGGAACGCTATAGAGAGTGAGCGGCTGATAAAGTCGAAATGAGAAGAATATTACTGTCCAATACTTATAAAAGTAAAACTTTTGAATGTAAATCTCTGTTGCATCAAACTGCTATACAAAAATGTTTATTATGCTATATTGACGTTACTATACGTCAGACATCATACTTTAGCCAGAAAATATAAACAAACAAAAAGAGAGACAAACTAAATAATAAATCTGAGCTTTGAGGGGGGGGGTCGGTGATACAAAATGTCATAATAATAAATCCAACATACACCTGATCAAAACTCATTTTCTGAGACTAAATCGAGTACAACCTCGCGATCTTGCTTTAGACTTATAATACTGCTTGTTGTTCTTGACAATAGAGAGCTGACCTTTGGATTTTCCTTTCATGTGCAGTGAAGTGTATTGTTCCGCGCGTGCCGCGTGTCGTTAAAGGCTTTGGCTTTGCGCTGCTCCCAATTGAAATACCAGCAGTATTGGTATTCTGTGCATGGAAGGTCTCAGCGAAAGTCAATATCTGTGGGACAGACATCGCGGAGCTCCAATACGCTGCTGTACGAATTTCATGTGAGAGAAAACTTGACATGCTTATGAAAAAGTACAAATATAATGAATAATATCAAAGTAAACAAAACAGGAGTAATGGATAATGATAGCATATACTTTGGATAAACCCTCAAATCCACTAGTTTAGTGAATTAATGGCAGGGAAAGGCAATTTTAGGCTTGTAAAGACGTCGTCTACCTGCCTATTATGGGAACCTGGTATACCAGGTTCCCGTCTGTGAGTGGGCTCCACGGGAGCCTGGTATACCAGGTTCCCGGAAGGAACGGGTTAATAACTGTCCCTCTGCCATGGTAGTACCGGGTGAGGGAATGGGGAGTACCAGTGAGGGGGAGGGGGGAGGGGGTACCGGGTGAGGGGGGAGGGGGAGGGGGTACCGGGTGAGGGGGGGGGAGTACCGGGTGAGTGAGGGGGGGGTGAGGTACTCACCCGACACGAGTCGTATATAATATATCTTAAAATAATACTTATATAATAAGTTCTAAATTTAGATCTATATATAAAACTTGTATAGGATATCATGAAATTAATATATAAACAAAACAGCGGGCTGACCAGCTTTTTCAAATTTCAGAGATTTGGGTAGAATTTTGAAGTAAAAACATGATAGTGTACGCGGTTTGTCGACTTGTTTGCTCTGCAAGTGCCAGTGCTAGTATAGTCAAGCGGCGGTCTCGAGTACGAGTGGTACCGGGTGTGTGCAGACAAGCAAGCGCAGCACACGCCGCGCCAAAGTTTGACTATAGCGCTAGCACTCGATCGAGGCCGGGAAGCAAACCGGGGAAGCAAATCAACAAGCCGTACAACCGTCAGGTTTTTAGTTGAAATTAACTATACCCAAATATCGGACATTTGAAAAAGCTGGTTAGCCCACTGTTTTGATTATATTTTAATTTCAGGATATCAAATACTATTTTTATATATAGATCTAGATCTAAATCTATAGCTAGGCTAGGCCAGTAGTAATCATGTTCGGCTTTGTTTTTCAATTCTTTACGAGTGACGTCATAGCAAGTATGGCACGTACCGCCCACCAAGCACGCATCCAGTAAAAATAAGTACATGGTAATTGACCAATCAGATTGCAGGGATTCTTCTACCCATCTTATGATATATATGGCCCGAATTCACAAATGATCGGTTTGAATCTGAATTTAACCCATGGATTAGCTTCATTTACATATTAAACCGTACCCATATTAATGGCCGTGCCCATGATAGTCTAAAATAAGCGTATTTCATCGCGTACCATTAGAGGTCCAATTAGACGTGCGCAAGGCAAGGTACGCTTACAATTTGCGCTAATTTTAAACCATGGTTTACATTTAAAGCTGCGGCGGCTGAGCGATGGACCAATCACAATAGACCGGCACGTCACGTACGGGGCGTATTGATACTTGCACGCGCCACTGAGAGTCCATTTCGACGCTTCTCATTGGCTACATTTTTTTAAACCCATTTTATGTGGCGGTGGTTATTATACTTGACTGCTAAGAGAGCATAAATGCTCGTTGTTTGCAACCATTATACAAAATATATAATCAATACTTTATTACTGCTACGTGCCTGCGCCAGGCCCGGATGCCAGGGGGTCAACATGACACTGATTGAACACTTTTCATTCACTCCATTCGTTAATTAAAAACACAATGTTTATCTCTGATATGACAATGACGTCTTAAAAAGGAATGACTAATTATTATACTAACCTCTTCTTCATGAAACATTCCAGAAACTTGCACTGCTTTGCACTCTTGGCCAGCTCCTCATCTCTTTTTCTTTTCGTACGATCTTTTCTTGGCATATTATTAATTAATCGTGATGTTTATTTAGGCGTCAATAAATTGAGAAATAAAACAATCAACTATGACAAGTGCAAGAGCCATAAACGATACAAATGGCTAGATGGCTGAAGCAATAACGTAGCAGCTATGCAAAAATAAAAAATTTAAAAAATTTAAAAAAATTAAAAATATGTCGGGTTGGGTAGTGGGGAATCATCAATCATGCCTGACTCAAGGCTTCTCCCGCCATGCAACTAAATTTACGACAGTTATATAACAGACCCTTCGTTGTTTTGACTTGGATGACTTCACTTTTGTTTGGGATGGGACATACATGTACCTCACAAATTCAGGAGTAGATCCGAATTTAATGTCCTTCATACCCCCCCCCCCCCCTCAACAACAATGACAGTGACCTGGGAATTACACATACAGGGGCTAAATTCAATTCAAAATGAGATTTAAAAAAATAATATCAGCTTAATTTTGAAGATTAAGATTTGTCTACAGCTTTTCAGAATTTATTTAAGTGAATACCTCCCCCCCCCCCCCCCCCCCCCCCCCCCCCTCCCCCCGATACTGAATCCAACTTTGGATCATTTAAGCCTCCGCCTCCCCCTACCCGTTTCCTCTTTTTACCAACATGGCCATGGGACACTACGTCCAATCAGGGAGGTGTATACCCTGGTCCTATTCACTCATTTCCAATTGCATTTGTTGCACGGTGATATTTTCCGGTTTTTACATTTCACAATTATTTTCATTTTTCCCCATTCCCTGATTCTTCACGGAGTAAATTCTACCATACTAACGTACGAAAGATGCATGCAGCGTTAACTTGCAAACCAAATAGCACACAAGCAATGAGGGTAAGGGTTATGCCCATAATTGGGCGATGCGCATTTTCTGAGTAACCAATAGTTTGAGTGCAAATTAATTTATGCACAACACATGAGCGCCACGTGCTTCTGGGGACGATTTCACTATAAGTCAAAACACATCGGCGCATATACGTAGCTAACTGATGACGCACTTTGATTGGCCTTTAGATTCGCGCGTGCTACGATCAGGGTTGGGGATCGTGGATTCTGACTTTAATAGTGAAATCAACCCCGGAGAATTTTGGTTGCAGGTATACGCGGTATAAATACGGTGCATGCGGGGCGCCTGTGGCTCAGTTCAGTCTCCGATCTCAGCTATATGACAGGGAAATCTTCACACGTTTTGGGGTCGATTTTGTTATGATCAAACCTAAACTCCTGTGATAGTTCTTGGATTTACCTAGGAATATTTTCTCAAACAAGGTTCCAGTTTGCCATAATATTTATCGTTACTGAGTGTTTTGTTTATTTCTAACGGTTACGAATATTCATTTTGATTAGTTCACTACACAATCACGAACTTAGTCGATGCACGCTACACACATTACATGCGAACACACATACATCTGACACATTTACGTATGTACGATTTACCATGCAGACGTACCAATATACACAAACACAAACAAAGAGCTATTGAGTACAAGTTTATTGATACTCGACTGCGAATGTATACGGTACATACAAACATCGCTTTATCTCACGTGTGACGCATTTTAGACTTAAAAATCGAAGATAGAAAAAGCCGGCCAGCCGGGATGAATTCCGAAAAAAGGGCACGTCCAGTTTGAAAAAAAGGGCACGGCCTTTTTGGCCGTGAATTTATCTTTTTTTGGGAGGGCACCATGGCCAGTCATAGGGGCATCGACGGCCTGGCCGTCGATGGCCGTCGATTAATTTAAGGCCTGGATGATGATGATGAAGATGATGATAGTAATAATAATAATAACTAAAAATATCGCAATGCGAATGTAACCCCCGGCATTGGCAGCGAGTTTTGTGTCATCATTATCTTCGAAAAGGGGACAAAGATCCCCTCTCCTCTCCCTGAAACAAGGATGACGTAGAGATCACCAGACGTGGACGCGGCGTAACGCTGCTGAATCCAAAGCATCCTCCGGCATACTGACGGGGGATAAAAATAACAACAATTATCATTATCATTAAACGGAAAGGAATATATCTGTTTCCTTACTTACCTATGGTCTCTGTGTTGTCGAGGCAACTGACCTTTGATGCATCAGTTGTGAAAGAACAGTCCCATCCTGCAATGATAGTACTCTCGTCTGGACCTGTACGATTGGAATGAAGAAAGTAAATTTGTTTGTGTTTTTGTTTGTTTTAACAGAAACATCTGAGATACAAGTAGTTTCTAGACAATATGGAAGCAATTTCTGTTGATATATTGATTACATACATTCACTGACATATCAATACCTACAGTGTATAAATTCCCAAGTAGTAACTGAAATAACTGATAGATTGTCAATACACTGTACTTGAGGGCAGGGCACTACTAAAACTAACCTTTTTCATTGAGACAGGAATTCTTAGGATTACATGCTCCAAGATTTCTCATGAATAAAAAGTTTTAATCCTGAATTAAAGTTTGGGGCCCATATGTGTCCCAGACATCTCGTAATGTCAATTCTGCTTCAAAGACATAGTCTCATCTGTTTCCATTTGCATTGCATCATCGTTTGCATACGCCAGAATTTGTGAAATTTTAGCAAATTACTAGTTGTTGTGTACAAATCTTGCACTTAGCAGCATCGAAACTCTGTTTCCCATCACAAACTTGTTGCGAGAGTCCGAGACTCAGAAAGCTTTAGAACTGTCATTCTTTAGATTCAGAATTCATGATAGTGACATATTCTAAGGATCAGTCTTTTGATGTGGTTAAAGGCTGCACGCATTACATATAGCCCATCGGTCACAAAACGGAAGTCCTTTCTAAATGATGGATAACATGAGTTATCAAGTAAATAGCTAAATGGTGCCAAATTCCCCATGAGAATCTGCGAGATGTCTTTAATATGGAAAATACTGAAGGTGAAGAAAGCAAACACCTACCTGCGAGTTCCCTGAGTTGATGAATGGTTGGCAGTAATGTAGGCTGTGTGTTCTGAAGGTAGTGGATTACTAGGAGAGTCAAGGCATAGTTGGTCATTTTGGGTCCTGGACCCTGCTGGTTCACCGACAGCTGCTGGTGTTTTGCCCACTGACGCAGGCAACATACTAGCGGTCTTACGCGCTCATCGAGTGAGGAGTAGAAGTGAAGGAGCTCTGTGTTTCTCAGAGCAAGTCTACAAGACAATGAAGCATTGATCGGTATGTTAAAATTATTACCTTGAGAATTTGACAAAGTCATTTGTTTATTCCTGATATTTATATATGGTAGCACATTTTCACAAGTAATGGCTGTCTTCCACAAGACCCTATTTATAAGCAGCCGCATTTGCATATAAGACTGCTATTCACATTGTTATTCACAAGGTTATCATTGTAAATGGATTTCATGTTAAGTTTAGGGTTAAAAATAGAAATAGTGTTGGGTCTAGGATTGAATTTAGGACTTGGTTGGAGTTAGAAATTGACAACGAAGCACTTGTAGGCCAAGCATAGAACCCTTATCTCACCTGTTGTCTAGAGACAGGTCACAGTGCAGACCAGACTCCTTGTGGATGAACTTGATGACTGGTCTACGACTGCTTGGGATAACCCTGACATGCTGGCAGGATGGGACACACTGCTTCAGAAGACGACATAAGATCTGAAGGATCTCCTCATGTGTCATATTGCTTGTTTCTGGCTGTTCAGAGGATGTACCATCAGCATCTGAGGTACCTGCTGCCTGCATATGAAGAGTTATTGGGATCGTGTTAAATGAAGTCAAGGTATTCAATTTTTAACATGTCCCATACATTACCATGGGGCTATCAAATTAATCAGGTATACCGACGTCTTTGATATAGTCAGTTATGTGTGGGACAAAACAGCTTGAATTTGCCCTACTATAGGAGGGCTAGACATAAGATACATGTAGATTCATGTAAAAGTGGTTACTTATGGATGTTTATGGAGTGTAATTTTTACCTGACTGCTAAGAAAGCATAAATGCTTGATAATAAGCAACTTATACAGTGGTTTGGCGGTCTTGCTCTGTTTAACATGTTGCCCGTTAAGTGCCAGAAGGGCATTAACTCTTATACAGATAATATGTGAAATTACAAGTACAAGCAATATTTGCATGCTTGTCAACAAATTTTGAACATGTACGAAATATAAAGCAGACACGAGCAAAGAGGATAGAGAGAGAACCAAATAACTGCATATAATTTGCAACACCCAGGACACAAGTATATCAAATCATTGATCTCATATTGATCTCACCATCTCTTCATTGGTCTCCATGTCATCTTCATCAGGGAACATGGAGGCAAATTTGTACTTGTATTGTTCACTGTCTCGACCCAGGTCAATCTGAAGGTCAAGGTCACAACCTTTGACCCCAAATCCACTGACGGATGAGCCGTATGGGAAAACTCTGCACTTGGGAAACATCTCCACAAACACCTCTTGAAGCAAGTCGCAGATGAGATACCGGAGCTGAAGATCAGATTGGTCCAGACATGTTTCCTCGACTAGGGCTGTCATTTGAGAACAAACCTATCACAAATATAAAAACAGAGAGGAAGTTTGATTGACATTACCATAAATTGAAAAATGCCCAAATTTGTTCAAACCCTAGCATATAAGAGTTTATGTCATAGCTTAATAATTTTCTGAATTTGAAACATTTGAAACATGCAGAATGTTGTTCCAACCCTCACAGATAAGATAAATCACAACACTTATTTATTTTTATGAGCGTAATGTTTTCCTGAAATGAAAAAGGAAATTTAAATCATGTTACATTAGGTTAAAAATGGGGTTACAGGTAAGGGTTAGGTCTGGTGTTTGATCCAGGGTTAAAGTTAAGAAAAAGGCTAATGTACATGTAGGATGTGGACCAATGGAACATATGTCTTACAACCTACAATGTACAAAATTGTTAACCCATTGCCCGAGGGAACAGACTGGCTCCTCGTTCCTTGGGAAAAGAAAGAATTCAATAGGCAAAGGACTAAGATAGAGGCTAATAGGTGCTAATATATTTGAGAGGTCAATTTCTTGTTTATACTGTTTTTCATTTCTGATCTCTTTCATCATTTTAAATACACCTCAAGTGTCCAAATGTTTTTTTTTATATTTGTAATTTTGATTTGCCTACCATTTTGTTGTATTTTTCCATCTTTTATACATTATTGATAACTACAAATTGTTCATTTAAACGTATTGCACATCAAAATGTGGGTGTTTTTTATTGTAAATATGACAGCATTGATCTTCTAACTTTTAACTTTTGTGATGTGCTATTTTTGCCAGTAAAACCAGAATTAAATTGAATTGAATTGATCATCCTGATACTCACATCTTCTGCTTCCAGGAGTCCTTCCAGGACATTATCCATCTCTTTCTCTCTGGCGGTCTTGGCTTTCTTTCCTGCAGAAGCTTGCTGCTTGCCTTTGAGAGCAAAGGGCTTGTTTTCTCTAGGTCTGACCGTGATCTTCTTCCCATTCATCTTCTGCTTCTCCTCCTCTGCTGCCTTCTCAGCATCCTCTTTCTGACTGAACTCCACGATGGCATACTTTCCCTGGGGAGAACACATTCAAAACTGTTGCTGACGCCCATGAGCATCCCTGAAAAGTGTGTGGGCTCTATAAGTTCACACTATTATTATCATTATTATTACAATTTGGCCAGTTTGATACTAAAGGAGAAATGTTTTAGCCCGGAGTATATGGGATATACTTGTATGTGTTGTATCAAATACATTCATAATGGGTTAAGAAGTTTAATGCAATGTTTTATTTAAATGAGTTATCATTTCAACTGATTGAAAGATAATAATTCACACTAAGGACAGAAACACCAGTCTAAGAAGGTGCTTTCAAAAAAAGTTGTCTGAAATGTTAAAGTTTAGGTATACATGTACATGATGTATGTACCGGGGTAATTAAGAATTAGAATTGGTTGCAACTGTACATCTTTCATTTAATAATGATAGTTATCACAAAGTCAGAAAATGAGTGCATGATCAATGGCAATATTATACACTTTCTGAGTATTTCAGTGCTAAATAATAGCAAATGAAAAGCGTTAAAGCAGAGAAAGGGTACAAATGAAATCCTTGCCAAACCTAATCTAGAACATGTATGGTAGACAAAGCAGTCTTACCTTATCCTTGTCCACAATGACCTGAGCAACACTGCCAAATTTAGAGAAATAATCTGAGAGTTCCAACTCGGAGACAAGCTTGGTGAGTCCCCCCACAAATATGCTACATTCTGCTTGCTTTTGTCTTGAAGCCTGGATTGCAATCAGACGTTGGTGTTTCTTTCCTTGGACATGATCTTCAACAGCTTTACCTGTAGTAAGAAAATCAATTAGTTTATAAGAACTTTGTGTTTTTTCACAAATTTTTCTTATCGTCCATTAAAAATAATATACCCAATGATTTTGAATGTGCACATTCGCTAATATATTAAAAATACCTGCATGTTACCTTCAAGCCCCATTTTAAATGCAGTTTGGGATAGTTTGGTGACCAAGTCGCTTCCGGTCTATTGCTGCTCTAAAAAATGTATGAAAATAATTGTTAAATATACTAAAAACAGGATATTTGGATGTGTGATGGGCAAGAGCAAGTAGAAGCATACAAAAGATGATGTGCGAAAGCTCATCTAAAATACTAACGGACTCCAGACTACAATAAAGGCTTTGTTGGCTCATTGAATAACCAACAGACATACATGTGAATATTCTAAAGTTAAGCTTATCATTTTCTCAAAGTTTTGAGAAGGGTCTACCATTGTTTCAATCTGCTGGTCGATACGATTCAAAACAAGATCTTTTTCTTGCTTTTTATTGATCGGCGATCAGACTTTATCATCCGATTCATGTTAATCGCCCAGCGATCGGCCACTGATCCGATTATCCGTAACAGGGTTTAATACTCAGGAAGCTATACTGGGAGGATAGGCTGCTTAGGCAAGTAGCTGCAAGGAGTGCAATGAAGTGCAGATATGGTGTGTGGACAAAGCACTTATCAATGTACAGTAAAATATGCTAAGTCCAGTAACCCTGCAAGTTGGGGCTTTAATCTTATCGGAGCGAAACCCTCACACGTTTGATCGGTATCGGCAAAAAGTATCAGTTTTACTTTTAACTTAAACACTCTATGACTCTAATACCTAAAATCACTCATACCTTGGATAATTCTCTCATATAATATTGTTGTAGAGTAAAGGAGGGAGTTTTCGGCCACTTAAAACAAAACCTTATTTGTTTACCGGGTACTCTTTACTTCCTATTTATTATCATTTCTTGTTGAAATCAAGAAGCAAATACTATTATTATTCAAACAAAACAAGAATCCCAGAAAAAAAAATCATGAATTGCCATGACAATATTCATTTTCATGTTCATTGTTTCGAAGGTACTTTTCGGCCTATCGAGGCAGTTTTTGGCCGCATGAACGTACGTAGTCAGTAGGGAGCGCACCCTGTGCGTTCACCTGCTGATGCTAAAGCAAGGGCTCGCTGTGGTACAAAAAAATAAAATGCGTTCGGCCAGAGCAAAAACTGCCACCAGCCTAAAACTCCCTCCATTAGTTTACTGGTTGTTAATGTTTAAACTATTTTCATGCCGTTAAATGTCAAATATTGAAAATGAACACAAGGGAAAAAAGATTTTTTTTTTTAAATGCCGAAGATTTTCAAGTTTTGGGCTATCAAATGCCTTAAAAAATGCATAGCTGGAATTATTTTGTCATTTGGAGTTGTTGTAACCATGTTTGTTGATATTTAGTGCCTTTTCATGACTTTGAAATTAATAATATTGGTCCAAAACATGCGGGGCCGCCATCTTGGATTATAATGCCTACATTATAGCCAAAAACTTGAAAATTTTTCGGGATTAAAAAAAAAAAAAAAAAAAAAAGAGAAACTGTTTTTTGTTTTTTGTCAATCATTTTTGCCGATACAGATCACAGGTGCGAGGGTGTCGCTTCAATCTCCCGATCCGATCAAATCCCCAACTTACAGGGTTAGTTTTAGTAGGGTATCTCCACGCCCGAGTTACGGTCAAATTTTGGATAGGCTTCTGACTCTGAGTTCTGAACAAGTGCCGAAAATTCAGGAGCCAAAAGAGGTTCCGATTCGGCTCAATCTCTCTGCAAGGTGCGATTCGTCTGGGATACTGTCTGGGATACCGTCTGTGTATGGGGAATGTCAACAAATGTCAACAAATGTCAAGTTGTCAACAAATGTCAGTTTAATTAAAGAAATGACCCATACCAGATGGTTATTTATGTCTAGTTTGACAGGAGAATCTAGACCCACAAGCACAACACAATTTGAATTCTCAATTGTAGACTAGGGTAGAGCGCCCAGTATTCGGTCACTTAACTCTTAAGCTGCCCCTATGCAATTCACCCAGTGCCACAGTGCTAATCCCTATTGTGCCCGCTACTAATCTCCTGTGTGCTAAGTTAATTTAGGGTTGGTTCAAGTGCGTGTAGTTTAAATTGTTACTATGTTTGATCCACTATAACATCTCATCTGTATATTGTATAAAAAAGAATTGTACGTTAAAGTTGTAGGAAATTTAACCCTCTTTCTGTTGGTACCAATATCATTTCATGAATCTGTAATTTTGGTAAAGTAAATAAGCACTATCAGTGAGTTGTCAAACCAATCCGTTGTCTCATTTCCAGCACACAATCTGAGGGGCCATGATCAAAACTGACAAATTTGTTGATTAAATATCGCAATTTTCTCAGGAAAATCCAATGTAACGGTATACATGAAGCACGCAAAATCAAAACAACAATAAACCCCCTCCACAAATACAGTAAGCATTCATGCGTGCACGCAATGCGCATCGCACAATAGGCATAAACAATTAGCTTGTGTACTTATGCACGAAAATGTGTCCGTGGCACGCGAGCGGATGAGAGTTTATGTGTCCATGGCAAGTCAACAGAAACCCGATTATGTGTGCGTGGCACGCCAGCGCATGCACAGAACAGTGTTCTTGGCACGATAAGAGGGATCCGGTAACTTTGTCTCAGATTCTGAAACAAAATTTTGGATTTAGCTCATGATGCAATGATAATTATAAACCTTAAGGTCAGTCAGGAACCCCATGACTTTTACAAGCCGATCGCCTGTCTGATTATCAAGATATTTATGATTGGAATTACAAATTTTGAAAACCGTTCGCCTGACGGTTTTCGTAACACTACAAAAGTCTGTTGGGGAAAACGAGTAGGCCTAGCTATGGTAAGACCGGTCACTCAAAGATTTTTAATTTTTTGAGGCATTTCTTGATCATTTTGAAGCGCGATTTTTTTAGGGCTTCAATATTACACCATCTCACAGACATTGATAACATGTAGGACCGTGTAGAGTAAAACCGCCAAACTTCGGACACTTAAGACAAAACGGGGGAAAACATTAAATTCTTTTTTTAATTATTGAAAGATCAAATATACTATTATTGTGCAAATACTGTTTATGTATATCATGAAAAGAAAATTAGTAAAGGAAATGGAAAACTAGAATTATTTACTTACCCGCCGAACATTTTTTCATGCCAAGCTTCGGACGTTCATGAGTAGCGCACGTATAACGCACGTATAGCGCATAGCGCACGTACAGCGCACGTATAGCGCACGCGCTAAAGTGCGCATTCATCGGAGGTTTGGAAACCGGATCAAAAAATGGTACAACGGGGGTAAGTTTGACTGCGTTGATTTCATGAAAAAAGTATTATTTTCTCGTTTTGGGTAGATTTATTTTAGGTAGAACTATCAGAAAGGTGTTTTTCACAACACTCACACAATATTTTGGTGCTAAAATCTTACGAAAGCGCTATTTTTTCGTAGTCAAAATGACACTCAATGTTGCCTGTCCGAAGTTTGGAAGAGCGCCATCTTCTGGTAGGGGTACCTGTATAGTACCCCTAGGTCCGTGGTAACGGCCGCCATTAGAAAATTTTCGCGATAGAGTGAAAAAGTATCTCATAAGCTCCCATAATTTTGGCAGAAACCACGTGAAATATGCCAAGGATTTGTTTGTAATCGATATATTGAAGGCTCTATACCTTAACTCCCCTGTTAAGGGACTGTAAAAATCCAGGTAACCTGAAATCTGTCTCTGAATTCGATGTTTTTGGTGAGTTTTGCAGACGGCAACCTGCCCTAACTTTCTGTACTAACGATGTAGGTTAGTAGTATCAAATGCATGCAAGTTACCCGCCTGAGCTAGACTCTAGGCTCATATTTTGCGTTCGAGCCGTTGAAGTAATTTTTGTCCGAAGTTTGGCGGTGTCCGAAGTTTGGTGGTTTTACTCTAGATCTAGACCCTATCTCAGATTTATCAATGTTAAACGATCCCTTTAACAACATCGTTAAGTTGAATTTAGATCTACCCGTTTACTGCTAGATTTAGGTCTCATCTGTCAATTGTCACCAATTACTGAAGCAACGATTCTGAATGAAAGCAGATGAGTTTTGTACAGTGGTGTTTGAAATGTTGAGAATCAATAGAACAGTTTTTAATACACAGCCACGATTGTAACGCAGCCCACTGCACTGTACTGTGCGTCGGAGCGCGAGCGTGAGCCATATTCATATTGACCGGAATTACCATCTCAATTTTATTTAACTCATTAATCACATGACATTAAGTTAACGACATTCTTTCATACTTAATTAACGGACATTTAAAGTAATTGAAAAGTACCTGTAACTATTTTCACATGGCAAATGTCACAGTAGAACGATTTTCCTCTGGATGTTATCGTTTCGTGCTCCATATTCCGATGAAATGTGACTCCAAAACCTTCAGTTTTCAAAACTTCCGCCACTGCACGAGCTCACAAACAACTTGTATTGCAAAGATTAACTACTCACAAATTTGAGCGCGCGCTCTACCGTCTGATTTTTGGTATAAGTAGCATGCGCATAAAATCCGGGGGAGTATAGTTATCATTGGGCGCATAATGGAGGGGCAGGCCAGGGGCGGCGGAGAATCTTCCAAAGTGGGGAGTGGCTCCAAAAAAAGACACTTTCTGGAAAAGGGGGCACCCTTAAATTATGCATTATTAGAGCTTTGAATTAAAAAGGGAAAAGGGCACTTATCAGAGATCGAGGAGAACGGGCACTCCCCCCCCCCCCCCTGCTTATTCAGCGGCTGGCTGAGTCGTTGCGATTTTTTGGGGGACTAAAAAAAAATATACATATGTTCTCTTTCCCACCGTGTGCCCCCCCCCCCCCCCCCCCCCCCGGAAGAAGTTCCTGGATCCGCACCTGAGTATGCTAGTCTATGTCTTCAAATTTCATATAAGTAACTTTGACTTATTTTAAGTCAGTATACCAGTAGCGGATTCAGGGGGCCCAGGGGGCACGTCCCCCTCCCCATCCCGGTTAAAAAAAGGGGGGAAGGGAAAGGGTGTAAAAGGAAAAGGAGAAAAGGAGGGGGAAAGAAGAAGAAAAGAGGGAGGAGAGAAAAGGGGAGAGGAGAAAGAGGAGGGGGAAAGGAAGAAAGAGGAAGAGAGAGGAGAGAAAAGGCGGAAAAGGAAGAAAGGGGGTAAGACGGAGGAGAGAAAAGGGGGAAGGAGAATAATGAGAAGGGAAAAGAAAAAAAGTGGGATGATATTATAAGAAGGTGTTTTTTACCGGGAAAGTCACAAGATGAACAAACAAAAAAGATGGAAAAGGGGGGAAAGAGAGAATTTTTGTGAGTTAAAGGAGAAAAGGAAAAACAAATGAAAGTGAATTAATCAACGATAGAAGAGAGCTATAGGTGCGAGAGCATGAGGAATTGCATTAACAACCAGGGGCGTCGCTAAAGGGCGGGGTGTGGGGGTGTGGGGTGTGACACCCCCCCCCCCCACACCTTTTAGGATATTGTCGCTAAAATTGCGCTGCTGTCGGGAAAAATGAGAAAAGGGAGAGGGAAAAATGAGAGGGAAAGAGAAAGAAAAAAAAAAGGAAAAGAAAGGAAAGAAAGGAAAAGAAAGGAAAGAAAGGAAAGAGAAGAGAAGAAAGAAAGAAAGAAAAAAAAGAGGAAGGAGAGGAAAGAAAGGAAAAGAAAGAAAAAGAGTAAATGGAAAAAAAGAAGAGAAAATGGAAACAAAAGAAACGGAGGATGAAAGAGAGGAGAGAGAGGGGGTAAGAGCATGAGAAAAGAGGAGAAGAGAGGGGATGTTGGGTGGAGTCACCATATCCAGGAGGCAAGAAAGATACGCATAGATATATTGTCGTGTCGGGTCCGCTGTGTCGGTATTCTAGCTCGACTCGTGTGCAGTTTGAAGTTTGTATAGTCGGTTTGAAGTCGGTGAGATGTATTATGTCGGTCGGTCGGCAAATTTTTCTCTCTACAAACTGTGACTGTTTATCGGACAAACGAACATTTTTGAAAATTTAGACAATGTTTAAGAGTCGGTACAACGAATCGTCTTCTTTCTCTAATAATTTAATGAAACGTAAAAGCTTCTGCGCTTCGCGCGGTAGAGGGGGGGGGGGGGGGTGGGGGGAACTGAATATGTCCTCTGGCTGGAACAAAAAAAAAAAAATTGTCCTTGACCTTTTTCAGTGGGGGGGGGGGGGGGGAGGGGTGTAGAGGCCACCGATTACCGACAAAACTAGCCATCAATTACCGACAAAACTAGCCACCAATTATTACCGACAAAATTTAATGTCCCAATGTCTACGAATTGAACCCTATAAACCAGCGCAAAGAGCACGCAAAGCGCACTCCCCTTAGGAGATGGATGAAGGGTCTTCCGCGCGAAGCGCGGAAGCTTGGACGTTTCCAAGTGACAGATCACTTTTCTATAAATTCAAACCAATCAGAAAGCCTCGTTTTTTCCGAAAGTGCCGGTGGACATTAATGCGCCAAATTTGCTTGTCAAATTGCAAAAGATCCCTACTCTTGGAGGGGGTAAGATAAAGCAATTTTACGTCATATAACTCCAGGAAGTGCCTGAAAATGCGCCTAATAAATGTGGTTCAATAAAATTGCAAATGCTTCCTACTCTACGAGCCAGGGTTCTGACCCTTCCCACGACCCATGCACCCCCGCTTCTGCTTCGCCCCATCGTTTTTCATATATTTCACCCCATGCGATGTTGTGCTCCAGGCGCGGATCCAGGATTTCTTAGGGGGGGAGGCCCAAATTTGAAATTATGCGAGCCAAATATTGGTACGTAATGGTGACCAGCAGTAATGTGGGGGGTGGGTGCAGGGAGGGGCGAGTTTTTCCCCTACCTCCTCCGCGAAGCGCGGAAGCTTCGACATTTCAATAAATTATTTTAAAAAAGAAGGCAATTCGTTGTACCGTTCCTAAAAATAATCCTCGTCTGAAATATGTTTCCCCCCCCCCTCCCGCGCGAAGCGCGGAAGCTTCTACGTTTCATTAAATCATTAGAGAAAGAAGACGATTCGTTGTGTCGTTCTCGACTCTTAATCCTTGTCTAAATTCAGTTCCCTCCCCTCCCCCGCGAAGCGCGGAAGCTTCGACGTTTCATTAAATTATTAGAGAAAGAAGACGATTCATTGTACCGCTCACGAAAATAATCCTCGTCTGAATTTATTTTCGCTCTCCCGCGCGAAGCGCGGAAGTTTTACGTTTTATTAAAACATTATAGCGAAAGAAGACGATTCGTTGTACCGTTATGACTTTTAATCCTCGTCTAAATTCAGTTTCCCCATCCCGCGAGAAACTTTTACGTTTCATTAAATCATCAGAGAAAGAAGACGATTCGTTGTACCGTTCTCGACTGAATGTCAAAAATGTTCTTTGTCTACTCCCTTTTCTTCCTACGTCCTCTTCCTTTTCACTCCTCTCTTTTTTGGGGGGACCACCTCACTTCTCCCCCCCCCCTTGCTACGCGCCTGCGGTCACATGAACATAATATTATGTTGATACCTTGTCCGCCCCCGGAAGTTCAGGGATTTTAGGCGGCATTTAATTACGGTCAGATGACCATTATTTTGATACCTAATTATTGTGACACTGGCAGGTCACTAATTGGCGTGGGGTTCAGGGGCGGAGCCCCCGGAAGCTCAAGGGTTTTAGGCACTTAATTACGGTCAGATGAGTATCAAGGGGCCCGCCTTAGGGCTCTTGGTTGGGTCCAGGGGGCAGAGCCCTCGGAAGCTCAACGGTTTTAGGCGTTTAATTACGGTCAGATGAGCATTTTTTGATACCTTATTATTTTGTGACACTGGCAGGACAATATTTGGCGTGGGGTCCAGGGAGCAGAGCCCCCAGAAATCAGGGGTTTTAGGCATTAAATTACCGTCAGATGAGCATCTAAGGGCCCGCCTAAGGGCCCTAGGTGGAATCCAGGGGGCAGAGCCCTCGGTGTTTAAGGCATTTAATCATGGTCAGATGAGCATATTTTGATACCTCATTATAATGTGACACTGGCAGTTAACTATTTTTTTCTTTCTTGCTCTTTCTTTCTATTTCTCTTTAATATATATTTTTTTTAAAGTGTGGGGGGGGGGGGCTCGAGGATCCCGATCCCCGCCGTTCTGCGGGCCCTGACATGTAGCCATCTCAAGAAGCATTTTCTTGCCTGGCTGTAAATTTAGGAATTTGTCATTTTCCAACAAACGCATAAAAAAGTATAATTTACTTAAAAGTGAGGAAAAATCTCGGAAAATTATGTCATTCCAGCATTATTTGTAAACCACCGTTATGGAATTAGAAATAAACCACGTTTGAATTTTATTTCCCCAAAGCCCCCCCCCCCCCCCCCCCCCCCCGATCTACACCTTGTTGGCGGGAAAATTGCAACTGATATCCCTTACCTTTCTTCATTCCCTTTCTCTCCTCTTTCCCTTTCCCTTCCCTTCCTTCTCTCTCTTCAGGTTTGCTGGGGGGGGGGGCAAGGTCATGTTGACCCCCACCCGCTCCACACATTGTTGGCGGGATTAACCGCAACTGATCTCCCCTTCTTTTCTCCCTTTTCTTTTCTTCTTCCTCTTTTTTGTTCCCTTTTAGCTCTCCTCTTTTCCTTTTCATTCCTTCTCTCTTTTTTTTTTTTTAGCCGGGACGGCGGGTGGGAGCAAGGGCCTTTTGCCCCCTCCCCTTCCCCCTGATCCACAGCTTGTTGGCGGAAAAATTGCAACTGATAAGTCCCCCTTCTTTTCTTTTCTTCCTCCTCTTTTTTCCTTCCTTCATCTCCTCTTTTCCTTTTTCTTCCCCTTTCCTTCCGTCTCTTTTATTTCTTGATGGGGGGGGGGGAGGTAACAGCCTGGGAGGCAAGTCCTCCCCCCGATCTCCTTCTTCCCTCTTTTCTTTTCTTTTTCCTCTTCTTTTTTCCCTTTCTCTCCTCTTTCCCTTTCCCTTTAAGGCTTTTCCTTCTCTCTCTCTCCTTTTTTTTTGTAGCGCCCACACCCCGAGGGAGGGGGCATACCTATGAAAGGAAGACAAAATAAGAAAGGTGTTGACTGAGATGCGTGGCAAAAACAAAGTCTTTATTACTTAATCTTCTACATTAACAGTCTTTTCTTACAATAACATATATACGATCAAATGGCATAACAATACTCTTCAAGTATTAAACACAAATAAATCTACCTCTTCACATACATTGAATTCATTAGCTCTCGGTGTTCTCTTTCTATATCACTAAGAACATCATCTGGGAAAGTTTCATTACTTTACTATCTCTACGAAACTATCCTTACTTCCATGCTTTATGTAAAAGTGCAACTCTTCATCGATCTCATAATCATAGCTTGGCTACTAATAAATAACTTAACCCTTATCAAATGTCTATAACATTGCGGTATCAGTCAATCTACTTTAGCTTCTAATCATATAACTCTTCACGTAGCGTCTCTTTCAAGAAATCACATATATAGACCTAATACAAGAATGTTGGCATAATCATCCCTATACTATT